TATTTATTTATTTATTTATTTATTTATTTTTAAAGGATTCTTTTTTTGTTTTTAATGTTTGTTTATTTTTGAGAGAGACAGAGACAGAATGTGAGTGGGTTAGGGGCAGAGAGAGAGGGAGACACAGAGTCCGAAGCAGGCTCCAGGCTCTGAGCTGTCAGCACAGAGCCCTATGCGGGGCTCAAACTCACGAGCTGTGAGATCGTGACCTGAGTCGAAGTTGGACACTCAACTGACTGAGCCACCCAGGTGCCCCTGTTTATTTATTTATTTAAAAAAAAGTTTATTTATTTTGAGAGAGAGAGAGAGAGAGAAAATCCTAAGCAGTCTCCACTGTCAGCACAGAGCCTGACGCAGGGCTGGATCCCACAACCATGAGATCATGACCGGAGCCGAAATGAAGAGACTGGGCCACCCAGGCACCTCCTTCTTTTTCTTTTTTCTTTTTTTCTTGAATGGGGTTTGTCTTTAAATACGTATGGCTTTGGCTTAGACTGAGAGTGCCTTTGGGTTGGGAAGTCTCTCTCCTCACAATTCCTTGTACAACACCGTCAAGGCCATGTGAAGACTTAATTCTTTTGTCAGTAAAAAGTATTAAAAATCATTGTCTCTTGTCAGCTAACCTGCGGTGATTAAAAAAAAATATATATATATATACATATATATATATATAATCAACATGCTATTTCCAAACCACTTCTTGAGCAAACATCCGAAAGCTAGACCAAGTCCTAGAAAGCTGGTAAAACTGTGGAATACACACACATCCCCAGAGGGTTAGACCTTTGAGGTTTTGATAAGTTTAAAAGGGTTTCTGAGGCTTCTCATTTTATAACTGCCGTTGTCTCTTTTCAATAGCTGAGCAGGAAGACACTCAGAAGAAAACCTTCACCTGCTGGATAAACTCACAGTTGGCAAAGGTGAGGAAAAAAAGAACAAATAAAGCTATAAATATATTTAAATTATTTCTCCTACTCCCTCCCTTTGGGTCCCCCAAATGGTACTGGGGAGGCGTCAAAAAGGTTGAAAGAATGTGCTGAAGTCACCGTGATCTTGTTTAGATGTATTTGTCATTCTTTCCCAACACAAAAAGGAGACACTTTTGCTAAGGATATGGGAGATAAGGGAAAGCAGCAACGTCTCTTTTATCAAATGTAATAATAATAGTAATAATGATTCGTACCTATGTATGGAGGGTTATGTGTTAAACAGTGTCCTAAGCTCGGTAAATATAATGAATTTGCATCACATTTACATGACTTTACAACACCCTCATGAGACTATTATTCCTATTTAAAGAACAAGGAAACTAAGGAAAAAGAAGTTCTGTGACTTGCCTAATGTTGCACTGTCACACCACTTATAAGTGATAGTGCTGGGATACAAACCCAGCAGTGTGGACCCAGAGGCCTTTTTTTCTTATTTTTAAAAAAAGTTTATTTATTTATTTTGAGGGGGGGTGGGCAGAGACAGAGGGAGACAGAAGCCCAAGCAGGCTGTGTGCTGTTAGCGCAGAGCCCAGTGAGGGCCTCGAACTCATGAACTGTGAGATCATGACCTGAGCTGAGATCAAGAGTCGGATGCTTAACTGACTGAGCCACCCAGGCGCCCCAAGGCCTTGTTAATCACTGTGCCATCCTGCCTCTCGGTGATGCCAAGTGCCCAGAATAACCTAGATATAAAATGAATAAGCCTCTTCTCACAGGCTCCCCATCCCTGCACGATGCAGTTCTGAAAAGGGTAAGTTCATAAACAGATTACTCCATAAATGTAATCTACTCCCCAAATGGGTCACTATTGGCGTTTTTGAATGTCTTTAATGCCGCCTCTATGCACAGGTTTTCAGCTCTCAGCGAAGGTACCAGAGTGTGGTGCTACTGGAAATTTGCCATGAGATAAATGAAATTCACTACTTTTCTTACCGTGCTTTGACATAGAACTTTGTGTGTTCTCTCTCATTCTGTTACTTAAAAATCACTACCGAATTTGAGCTTTTGTGAAAACACAAAGCGCATTTATTGATGAGAATCCTAAAGGTATTATGTTTTTGGACCAAAGTTTGAATGAATGTTTTTCTTGTGACCTTTTGTAGCACACTCCTCCCTCGGTTGTGTCAGACCTATTTGCGGACATTAAAAAGGGGCATGTCCTCCTGGACCTGCTAGAAGTACTCTCAGGACAACAGTTGGTGAGCTTTTTAAGTGACATTAAAAGCCTTTTATTGATTAAAATTTTTTTTTTCATATTTCTAAGTGATATATTTTGCTTGAATTTCATAGCCTCGAGACAAAGGATCTAATACCTTTCAGTGTAGAATCAATATAGAACATGCCCTGACATTCCTAAAAAACCGATCAGTGAGTATGAATTTCATCGGAAGATTCACAGGAGAAATTGATGCAATGAAATATTTTCTCCTTTTAACCCGTGTTTCTTCTTTTCCAGATCAAGCTAATAAATATTCATGTCACTGATATTATAGACGGAAACCCATCCATCATTCTTGGCCTAATTTGGACAATTATACTGCACTTTCATGTAAGTAGTGTGGTGGTGTGGAAGTTATTTCTGTTCTGATTACTGCAGAATGAAATAAGTGTTATGCAAGAAGATTCAGTCCTGAGTTTCTTCCAGAAAAAGGACACTCTAACCCTTGACGGGTGGACCTTTGCCACTGATGTTATTTTGCAGTTGCAAATTGAATGCGGAATTATGGTATCTTGAATGATCTGCAGTGTCAGCACCACTGTCACTAGAACCTGCCGTGATCAAATTTTGTGTATTATTGTTTACTTACTTTGGCAGAAGAGAGGAAACTTCCGGAGTCAATTTGTGAGAACCAACCCACTAAACTTTGTAGAATCTCCTAGTTTCGAGGACCCTTGTTCAATCTAGTAATCCCACAGCATTTCGTCCTGTCCCCAGACTGACTCCTTGATGAATTTCACTCCACAAATAATTTAAACACCTATTACGTTCTAGCTTTTGTGCCAGGACACCAAGAAAACAACAACAAAGACACTGTTGGTCCTGACCTTCTGATACTTACGATTGATAAATATATTCTTCCAGACCCGGGATTCCGAATTCGTGCAGGTTTTCTGCAGTTACCTAAAAAGTTGCATGTTGTATCTCTCCATAATTACTTTGAAAATAATTTAAATAATGTGGGAAACAAATGTTATTTTATGAAAACCAGAAAATAACAGAAGTACTTTGTGTAAGATTTAAACCATGTAAGATAAGAACTGTGTATGATTTCTGGATACCTACGTTTGAAGTTCTAGTAAAATAAAATGCGTGAGGATGATGAAAACCAAGTTTAGAATTGTGTTTTTTGCCTCTGGGAGAGGAAGGAAATGGAATCACAGAGGGGAAGACAGAAGGCTTAAACTGTATCAGTGTTTTATTTTTTTAAAAAAATATGAACCAAATGTGGTAAAATGTTAAAATTTGACAATTCGTAGGTATTTGTTATATTTTTTTCCTGCATACTTTCCAGGATATTTGAAGTATAATTAAAAATTTTAATACAGGTAATAAAAGGCAAATAGAATCACCTATAATTCTACCACTCTGTGATAACCACTAAATAATTTGCTGTGCAGTCTCCATGATACATGCAGTAGGAATGAACATATGTATTTGTTTATGTTTGTATGTCCTAAACAGAATGGTCCTCCTATCCAAACTTTTCAACCTGTTCTAATGAACATCTTTCTGAATTTATATGTGTGTTTTAATGGAGGCATGGTGTTCTCTTGTAAAGTGCTATATCTTATTAATGGACAGGCAGAATGCTCATAGTTTTATGATTATAAGCAATTCCAAAAAGACTACGCTCAGGGTAAAATTTTTACGTACAATCTTCATTAGTTCCATGGGCCAAATTCTTAGAAGTAAAATTGTTGGGCCTTAAGTTTTGCTTTTTTTGGCCTCGCTTTACTGATGTAAATAAACTTTTGTTGAAGTATAACATACGTAGAGAGAAAGGTAGAGATCTTACGTGTAGAGCTGGATGTATTCTTGTAAATTAAATACATCCACGTAACCATCCCCCAAGATATAAATAGAAAACATTGCCTGAATCCCAGAGTTCCCATGTATTTCTCCCAGTCCTTACCCCCCTTCCCTGAAGAAACCACCACTTTGATCTCTATCGCTGTTTAGCTTAGCATCTTTACCTCCATATGAAGAGATTATAACTGAAGTGACTTACATATGCTGTATACTCTTTTGTGTTAGATTTCTTTCACTTAACATCATCTATGAGTTTCAACTTGTTGAAGTGTGCATTGCATCGGTAGGTCTTTCGTTGTTGTTGTTGTTGTTGTTGAGTATAGTTGACGCACAATTAGTTATTTTAGTTTCAGGTGTAGAACTTTGTGGTTTGACAAGTTTATGCATTTTGCTGTGTTCACCACAAGTGTAACTACCGTCCATCTGTCCTGTTACGTCACAGTTATAATATCATTGACTGGATTTCTTTCTTTTTCCTTGTCGTGTGTGACTGTATCACTGCATGACTATGCCAGAGCTTACTTACTATTCTACTATTGATGGGCATTTCTCTTGTTGCCAGTTTTCAGCTGTTACAAATAAAGCCACTAGCCCCATTCTTGTATATTTGCCTTTGGTGGTACAAGCCCTCATTTCTCTCTTATATATATCTAGGAGTGGATTTGCTCGGTCATAAGGCGTGTGATCTTCAGCTTTGGTAGGTAGTGCCAGTGAGTTTTTCAAAATGGTTGCCCTGATTTACCCTGTTACAGAGTTTGGAGATCCCTTCTCCAATCCCTGCAAATACTTGACGTTAAAATTTTTTTATTTTAGGGGCGCCTGGGTGGCACAGTCGGTTAAGCGTCCGACTTCAGCCAGGTCACGATCTCACGGTCCGTGAGTTCGAGCCCTGCGTCAGGCTCTGGGCTGATGGCTCAGAGCCTGGAGCCTGTTTCCGATTCTGTGTCTCCCTCTCTCTCTGCCCCTTCCCCATTCATGCTCTGTCTCTCGCTGTCCCCAAAAAAATAAATAAACGTTGAAAAAAAAATTTAAAAATTTTTTTATTTTAGCTGTGCTATCGCGTGTAACGATTTATAGAAATTTGACAATATATTATGGGGGCGCCTGGGTGGCTCGGTCGGTTGTGTCTGACTTTGTCCCGGGTCACAATCTCGTAATTCGTGGGTTTGAACCCTGCATCTGGCTCTGTGCTGACAGCTCAGAGCTTGGAGCCTGCTTCAGATTCTCTCTCTCTCTCTCTCTCTCTCTCTCTCTCTCTCTGCCCTTCACATGCTCCCGCTCTGTCTCTCAAAAATAAATGCTATATATATGTGTGTGTGTGTATCTATATCTATATCTATCTATATCTATATCTGGATGCAATACAAGTCCTTTGTTGAGTGTATATGAATTGCAGATACCTTCTCTGATTCTGTGGCTTGCCTTCTCAATCTTTCAATGAATAGACATTCATGATTTTAATGTAGTTCAACTTTATCAACTTCCTTTTTTGGTGGCTAGTACGTTCTATGTCCTGTAAAGAAATCTTTTCCTTTGCTAGCATCTTGGAGATATTCTCTTACACTCTTTTCTTGAGTAGTTCTGTCCAATGGGAGTTTCTGCAATGATGGTAATGATCTGTAGCTGCACTGTACAGAACAGTAGCCACTGGTCTCTTGTGGCTTTTGAACACTTGAAATGTGGCTAGTATGACTGAGGAACTAAATTTTAAATGTTATTTATTTAACTTAAATAATAGCCACATGTGGCTAGTGACTATCGTATTGGACAGCACAGTTCTGAAAGCTTAATTGTTTCGCATTTTTACATTTAGAGCTACAATCTTTCGAGAATGAATTTTTTTTTGAGCACGTTAGGTTAAAGCAGTCAAGATAATTTTCTTTGCATGTGGCTGTCCAGTTGACCCAACATCATGTATTGAAAAGACCATCATTTTCCTACTGTCCTGTAGTGTCAGTAACTTCAAAAACTAAGTAACCATATATGTGTGGCTCCATTGTTAGATTGTCAGTTCTGTTCCATTGTTTATCCCTGCTGACCAATGCTATAGTATGTCTGTTTCTATAGCTATATAGAAAAGTCTTGATATCTGATAGTGTCCAACTTGTTCTTTGGGATCATCTTGGTTATTCCTTGCTATTTGCATTTTCATATAATTTTTTAAATTGAGATGTAATTGGCATTTGCCATTGTGTAAGTTTAAGGTACACGGCATGTTGATTTGTTATTCATATGAGTTTTATAAATAACCTGTTCATTTACATACAATCTGTTGGAATTTTAATGAGGATTGCGTTGAATGTATAAGTTGGAAAAAGTTGGCATTGGTAAAATTTGCATTGTTTAATCTATGAATCCAGTATTTTTATTATTGCTCTGTCCAAAATATTTCATGTTCACTATGATTTCTTATTTGACCTATGGGTTCTCTAACATTCTATCGCTGAATATCCAAATAGTTGGGGATTTTGTTTGTTATATTTTTGTTATTGATTTCTAGCTTAATTTCAGTGTGGTCAGAGAATAACCATCTGAATGGTTTCGGTTCTTCAAAACTGCTGAAACTTGTTTTATGGCTCAATTTTCGTAAATATTTTATATGGTTTTGAAAAGAATGTTGATTCTGCCATTTGAGGTACAATGGAGTATGCCAATCAGATCAGGTTTATTAATTGTATTGGTCACATCTACTGTTACTGGTTGTCTGGAGAATCTATTAATTATTAAGAGAAGTGCACTTCTCTCAATAATACATGTTACTATGTTTGTAGGTTTGTCTTTTAAAGTTTTCCATAGGTGTTATCTTACTGCCTCCAAAAAATCGGAACGAATTTTTGTGTTTACCAGCAACATGGAAAAATCCAGTTTCTCACATTCTCACTAGATGATAACATCACTAGATGTTATCTTTTAAAATTTTTTGCCTGTGTTATAAATGAAGGAACTGTCCCTCTTGCTGTATACATTTTGCTTTCTTAAATGACTAACGAGGTGATTTTTTACATACTTGATGGCAATTTTTTTTTCTTTTTTGGGACTCATATATTTGACTATTTTGTTCTGTATGTGTTTTTGTTTCCTTTTGTTCTGTATGTGTTTTTGTTTCCTATTGGTTTGTAATCAAGGATGCGTTCTAACTGGCCCAGTCTCTTGGAAGGCACTCTAGAGTAGGATCTCAGCTTAGGTCAATTCAGTTGAGAGTGACAGGTGTTGAGCACCTGAGAAGTGCTCTGTAAGCGTGTTGGGGGGATGAATAGAGGCTTGCCCTCGGTGGAACGAAATGCCTGAACAAGGGCAGGAGCAACCCAAGTCCACTGAAAGAAAGCCTAAGCGTAGCCCGAGATTCCAAATGCTGTTATTCAAGGATTTGTCCAGTGCTTTTTCCACCATGAGTAGGCTCTCACTGCTACCTGATTCTTTTCAGGTCTTGTTTTGGCTGAAGGTTTAGCCTCAATGCTTTTAACTTCTGATTTGTATGTGTCGACTATTATGTGTTCCTTAGATCGAAGAGCTTGCCCGGACTCTTTCTTGCAATTACAATCAACCTTCCTTGGACAGTGTGAGTGTGGCTGACTCATCTCCTACCTCAAGTCCTCCAGCCAAGAAATGCTCCAAAGCCCAAGAAAGATGGCAGATGTCTGCAAAGAAGGCTCTTCTCTTGTGGGCTCAGGAGCAATGTGCCCCGTAAGTAGTTTGCTCTGACCACGGGAGACACACAGGGTGACTTTACCCGCTAACACAACCTTACTGACTCCAGGTCTGAAAATAAGGCTGACTGGGTATATAACATACGTCGGAACACTTCCCTCTCCTAAAAGGAAAATGTTTACTATCCTCCTTTCTTTTGGAGTGAATCTTCCAAATGTAGAGGTTCGTGAACTCAGCCACACTAGGAGCTTTTTAAAAGTCAGGACTACATTTTTCTTGACTGTGTATCCCCAGAAGCTAGCACAATGTAAGTTCCTGGTAGGCGCCCCATAAATGCGTATTGAATGAATAAATGAACAAATGAAGGAATAAGGAATCAACACATAAAATTATCCTTTGGAACTGTATAGGACTACATTAAAACACCACAGTCCCCATTGTTTAGAAATTTGTAGCTCAGTCAAGGAACAGAAGCCAGAAAATAGGAGTTTTTTTTGTTTTGTTTTGTTTTTTAAGTGGGGATGATGATAGGAAGTTAGTGTCCAGAAATTCTGTTTTATAAAGAAAAAGGTTTGCTCTTGGCAGACATTTACTTTTTCACTTTAAACACTTGCTGGGATGGGATTTAGGAAAAATAAGGAGTTAGGATGCAGAACTCCCCGTGAGATGAGCTGTAGAGTTCAAATGGCCTTTCTTCTCCCATCGTAGCATGGTCTGCATAAATAGAGGCATCACTGTCGCTAAGACCTCACAAATGGTGGGCTTCTGAGTAACTTCTTCCCAGTAGTAGGCTAGGATGTTAACTTCTGCCTCCGGCCTTTCTTTAGTTGTCATGCATCCTCTGTATTTCGTGAAGGACAAAAAGACATACAGATCTTACAAGGTTTTACATACAGCAAATGGACTTTTTCTTGAATCTTCTAGAGATGGTTTTACTTCCGTTTTCTATATTTTTTAATCCAAAGGAATCCAAAATAAATAATAATAATAATTCCATATTTTTTAATCGAAAATAATAATGTGTGAAGAGCATTATCAAATCATATTCAGACTTGTTTCATTTATCTGTAAATAAATTTCAAACCACTTGGAAGTCCAAATGTTTTGCCACAGTTTACCTTTTCTCCATGTCTTTCCCTACTTTCCAACTATGAGCTGTGCTAAACTTGTCAAGATGTAGTGAATCCTTCTGAAGTAACTCATCAGGAGTTTATTCTAGTTTGGGCCCTCATTGGTGGCATTTTTAGGGGGCTTACTTCGATAGTCTATGTGTCCCTGGAACTCATCCGAGATCCAGACTATGGGGAGACTATGTTGTAAGAAATGTGTCGTGTTCTCTCGTTTCTGAAGGAGATGAAGCGGGGACCCGGTTTGCAACTTCTAAATGAGCTGAGGTCCTGCCAGTCACTCTGGAGCCCTAACCCGCCCTCTCTAACACCTGGCAGCAGCTTGTTCTCTGTGGGATTGGCGTCCACTCATCAGTGCAGAGCCCATCTCACAGCCTGGGGCTTTATTGAGGGCAGCGCCTGCCAGTCAGCACTTAGCCGGTTCTGATCCCCGCTCTGCCCTGCCCTTGGCCCCAGCCATCCCTTTAGCCAGTTGTGCTTAGTGTTCTGAAGCCCGGAGCCTGCGTTCGAGTCGTGGCTCCCAGCAGTTTCTAACTGGTGACTTCAGCTACTGAATCTCTTTGCGTTGGAGTTTCCTCAATCATAAAACTGTGGACAATACTAACACTTCATAGCGTTATTAGGTATATTATAAAAATTATTTTTTAAGTATTTAGAACAGTTTCTGAACAAAGTGTGGACCACATAAAGATTTGTTAAGCAAGACAAAAATCACCGAATACCATGTAGTTTTATCACAGTCATATTTTAGGCGTTTTTTCCTAAGAGGTTCAGGAAAGCCCAGGTCATCAGAAGTTGACTATATCTCGAGTGGTTTTTATCATTTGATTGATACCTTAAATGGGTCCATTGAATTTCCTCATATTTTTTATGACATATTAAAGGAAAATACAGTTGTCCTGGATTATTTCCCACATAGGCAACTGTGCTCTTAAAACATCTTCACTGGGGGCGCCTGGGTGGCTCAGTCGGTTAAGCCTCCGACTTCGGCTCAGGTCACGATCTCGCGTTCCGTGAGTTCGACCCCGCGTCGGGCTCTGTGCTGACAGCTCAGAGCCTGGAGCCTGTTTCAGATTCTGTGTCTCCCTCTCTCTGACCCTCCCCTGTTCATGCTCTGTCTCTCCCTGTCTCAAAAATAAATAAAACGTTAAAAAAAAAATTAAAAAAAAAACCATCTTCACTGATCCCTTGTCAAATGCAGAGTTGTGATTGATGGAATGATTTGAAATATATATATTAAGCACATTTATATGCCAGATACCATTTGGGGATGAGTCTACTGTAGGAGACAAGGAGGACAAGGCCCTTGCTTTCCAGGGGCTTGGCCCACAGCAGATGGATCAATGTCATAACTACAGTTGGCAGTAAAGTCAGGAAGGACTTACGATGAGTGAGAATGTCAAAGGTGGGAGGGTGGCTTTTATCTGAGGCGACCATGGAGCACCTTTCTGAGAAAGAGACCTTTGAGTGAGGACTGAAGGAGAAGGCTTCAGGTGTATGAAGATCTGGGAGAAAGAGCATCCGTGCAGAGGGATTAAAAGGAGCGTGGGGGTGCCTGGGTGGCGCAGTCAGTTGAGCATCCCACTCTTGTTTTTGGCTCAGGTCATGACCCCAAGGTTGTGGGATCGAGTCCCGTGAGTCCCGTGTTGGGCTCTGTGCTGGGCATTGAGCCTGCTTTATACTCTGTCTCACTCTCTCTCTCTCTTTCTGTCTTTCTCTCTTCCCCTCTCCCCCTGTCCCTCACCCCCACTTGCACTCTCTCTCTAAAATAAAACTTAAAAAAGAGCACGGTGTTGAGAAAGGAACGAAGCCAGAGTGGCTACAGCATTGTAAGAGAGGGAGATACAAGGGTGGAAGTTGTAGGCAGGGGACAAACTATGTTAGGCCTCGTGGGCCAGACTGAGAGATGTTATTCCGATAAGCTATGGCAGGGTTTTGTTTGTGAGAGAGAGAGACAGAGAGAGAGAGAGAGAGAGCATAGGTGGGAGAGGAGCAGAGAGGGAGGGGGAGAGAGAGAGAGAGAGAGAGAGAGAATTTTAAGCATGCCCAACTCAGGGCTGAATGTCATGATGGTGAGATCACAACCCGAGCTGAAATCAAGAGTTGGCTACTTAACCGACTGAGCCACCCAAGGGCCCCGACAGGGTTTTTGTTTTTGAAAAAAAAAAATTTTATTGTAGTAAAACATATAGAACATAAAATTCAACCATTTTAACATTTTTAAATGTCCGGTTCGGTGGCATTAAGTACATTCATACTGTGATGTAACCATCACCACTATCCATCTCCAGAACTTTTCTCATCTTATGAAACTAAAACTCTCTCCCAGCCTTCCCTCCCGTAGCCAGTGGTCTACTTTTCTTTATCTATGAATTTCATTACTCAAGGTGCCTTACCTGGGTGAAATCATACAGGATTTGCTCTTTGGTAACCGGTTTCTTATACTCTGCATAATACCGTCAAGGTTCTTCCATGTTGTAAGATGGGTCAGAACGTCTTTCTTTTTTAGGGCCGAATAATATTCCACTATATCAATACATCACATTCTGTTTATCCATTCATCTGTGATGACTAGTTTTAAGCAGAGGAGTGATAAGCTACTGACCATTAAAGTGGCACAATGTGTCATATAATTTGTTCTAACGAGAAAGAAATTGTTTCCACTAGTGAAAGGGACTTAATTACACGTAGAAGTCTAAAGCCAGTGCCGAGCCAACAGATTCCTGAATGAAGAGCATTAAACTAGCGTGGCTGTTGTCACTTGGAGGGCTTTTGGAGACACAGATTTCAGACCTACCTGCGGAGTTTAATGCAGTAGGTTTGGGGTTGCATCCGACTGAGAATTTGTATTTCTAGCACTTGCAGCCCAGGTGACGCTGATGCTGCTGGTCCAAGGGCCACACTTTGAGCACCAATGTTCTGCGGTACCATGAGCCTCATCAAAGCTGGCATTTCACTTTAATATGCCCACAAGATTAAAATAAAATGTTTTCCTAGAATATGTGATGTATTTGATCCACTGAAATCTGTTTTCATTACTATTGAATATGGTGGATGTGCTTTGACGTATTCTTTTAAATAGTATTTATCATGTTTTTGTCCTTTTGTGATAGGTGTGAGTCTGTCAGTGTGACAGATTTTAAGTCAAGCTGGAGAAATGGGATGGCTTTTTTGGCTGTCATTCATGCCTTGCGACCAGACCTAATTGACATGAAGACAGTGAAGCATAGATCCAACAAAGACAATCTGAAAGAGGCCTTTGGAATTGCCGAACGGGAATTTAAAATCCCCAAGTTGCTAGAACCAGAAGGTAAAGAAGCTTCTTTCTTTTTAAAACGCTGTCCAGTGGGAAGTTGGCTGGGAAATGTAAACAGGACCTCTACATAAATAAACATAACGGTATTATCGCCCCGGAGGGTTTAATAACTTAAACTCTTTATTAAATTTCATGACACTAAGAATTCCTACCAATTCATTAACTTCAGTAATTGCCAGGATGACAAGACAGCTGAAAGCAAGCAATGCTATTATTGGAAATAATTTGAGTCTTTGTCTTAGTTTTCTTTCATTGTGTTCTACGTTGTGTTCCCTTGATTCTGTTATTCTGTTCTAAAAGCTCCCTGGTAAGACCGTTCTTTGGGTTAACGTATTTCTCCTCTCCACTCTTTCCCCCTAGGTAAAGCTGAACTTCTTTGAGGACAGAAACTCTTGTTTGTTTGTTTGTTTCGCCCTCTGTGGCTGGCTAGGCTTTGCCGTGATTATGCTCGACACATTGTGTGGTATGGTTAACGACCACAGCAAAATCCTAAATACGGGTTTTGTTCAAAGAGATGATTATGTTAACTTCACAAAATTAAGATTAAGATGATTTAATTCTTTGGAAAAGCACTTTGCTGTGGGTTGTATTGTTTCTTAATGTACCAACGCTTATTAAAAATCCCAGTAAGCTCATAAAAGGGGTGTGTAGGATTCGCGAAGATTTCAATGCACTGACAAATTAAGTACACATTCTAGTCTCAGCTGTACAACCAGGGGTGTGTAGGTAATGTGTGACTGGGTCTCCAGAGCAATGCGTGTGTGTGCCTGAGCGTGTGTGGATACGTACACACGTCTATCACAAATATTACTAATATAAGGCACACGTAGTACACAGTTTACAAATGATAAGAAAATATGTGATACATTTATTATGAATTCCATATAGCCCCAGATGTTTTTGTTGATTTTCACCAAACGCTTGTATCCACCTGCAGCCAACTTATGGTTGCGGTCGCTGGACACGTGGAGTCCTGACATGAATGTTGGCAAATAATTGTCTTTACGTTCGTGAGTAAGTACGACAATAGAGATGTTTGTTGGAACTTGACTTGTTCTTCAACATGTGAGTGACTTTTTTTGCTGAACCTAATATTGGAAGAATATTTCCTCATTTTTTTGTGCAATTTCACAGCTCTAGATAGGACATGCTTTTTTTTTTTTTTTTTTTTTTTTTT